CAAGGGTTTTAACATTTGACTTGTCCACTTGGATGCAAAAAATATATATATTTAAGAATAATTTTTTTTGTTTTTTTTTTTGTATAATTTTATATATTATTTAAATAGTTAACTATTTTTATTCATGAATTTATCTAACTTATGCTTTAAAAATACAAGTTAAGAATGTAATAAATATTTTTATAATAAATTTGTGTTAAAAAAATAAAAGTTAACATTTAATTTTTTCACTATTTAATTAAATTTATTCATTTAGTATCAATACTAAAATTAATATCAATTTTTATATTTATATATATTTATGATAAAAGAATACTCTTAATCTATACTCTAAGGGTATAGGTTAAAAAAATTATTTATTCATTTGAAATTTGTGATATTAACTGCATTTACTAATTTAATAACATGTAAAAATTATATAAAAAATGATAAAAAAATTGTCACTATATCACCCAAAAAAAAAAGAAAGAAAGGAAAAAAAATAAAAGGATGCCTAAAGTGATATAGAGACCACTTTTTTCTTTTTTTTTTCTTTATTTGTTTTTTTGTGACATAAGGACAATTTTTTTTAATAATTTTTTATATAATTTTTTATATAATTTTTTATACAACTTTCATATATCATTATATAAGTGAATCTACTTAATATCATAAGTTTCAAATAAATAAAAAGTTTTTCTAATAGAGCATAGATTAAGGTTTTTTTTATCATAAATGTATATAAAAAATATAAAAATTGATATTAAATTTAGTATTGGTATTAAATGAATGAATTTAATTGGATAGTTAAAGAATTAAACGTTAATTTTTATTGTTAACATAAATTTATTTTAAAAAATATATTTATTATATTTTCAATTTGTGTTTTTAGAATATAAATTAGACAAATTTATAAATAAAAAAACTAATTATTTAAATGACATAAAATTATATAAAAATAATAAAAAAATTATTCGTAAATTTTTTTTAATATCACAAGATATTAATTTTTCCTATTTACGTAAAAAACACGCTAGCGATCCATGTCCGGTGACATCCATACCTTGGACCCGACCTGAGATTGGATAGCGGCCCCAATCATTTTGGGCCTTTTCGGCCGTAAACGGAAAAGGCAAAACCATAAGTTAAGCCCCTTAACTAACCCCAGAATTGCTATTAAGCCTCCAGACTTTAATGGATGCATATAAGCCCTTACACTCTGCAGTCAAAGCAATTTAACCCTTACTCTCACAACCAACTTAACTCCCATTAATTGCCGTTAACTGCCGTTTGGGGGACTGCCTCGTGTGGTGAAATATGG